TACACAGAAAGCCGCTAAATCGCTCGCCATCGCGATTTCGCAATAAACCGCGATAATGCGTCCCTTCACATCAGGGGTCTTCAACCTTTTTTATTTTTTTATTTACCGCCCACTTCTACATATTTTGGAGAAATTGCAATATGCTTGCTCACCTGACGTAAATTTTTAAAATACAACATTGGGGAGTAAGCACTGAATAGGATAATTATGCAGAAAGTGACAAATTCAAATGCAAATGTGAGTAATATTTTGTGATCATTATAATGAAAAATAAAAATAAGAAATAACTGCACTTTTATATATTAATATGATATGTGCATTTATATTTTATTAGTATACTGTTATTATATAAATCCTATATATATATATATATATATATACACACACACACACATACTGAATATATTATAATATTTTACATATACTTTTGGATTATATACATTTTCATATATAATTTATTATTGTATAATATATAATAAATGTATTATTATAATATATTTAATATACATATAGTACAAAGCTTATAATTTATACAGTAACACTATACTAATAGCAAATAAATGTATATATTTTATTAATATATAAATCTGCAGTTATTTCTTGTTTTCATGTTTTTATAACGATCATGATATATTGCTCATATTTGCATTCGAATTTGTCACTTCCTACATATATATCTTATTTATATACATCACATTTACACAAATGAACAATTCTTTACACCAACTTCTACCGTTTGTTGATCACTCAAGCTTATTGATTCTACACATAACGAAGAATACAGTCATCGTCTGATGATTCAATAATTCACTCTGCATAGTGTCAGACATTCTTCTAACTATCATACTGTGTAATGAGTTGATATCTAGTTCACTACAAAGGAAAAATTAAAGAAACCGAGTTGAACGTTTGAAGAACTAGCGAATACCTCTTAACTTCTTGTCTCTCTTATTGTTGATAAATCATACTAAAACCTTGGCACGAATTGCCGCGAGCTTTATGAGCGACGATGACGTCGTGAAAATTTGGACGGCAATACAATCTTTTTGTACGGGATATCCTCGTTTATCAGCAGCTGTTAGGGCCGTACCTTCGCTCAAAGTTTCACACGAATGTTCCAGTGTAAGGGCAACTCGAAAGTGTAGAACTAGCTGCATCCCAGCCAGTGTAAACGTATCCGACCTAGTATAAATAGGTTTACTTCTTGCTTGCCTTAGTTAAACAAAGTTCCACCGAGCTGGGATGCAAGCACTGCCGCGAAGGGACTCGAGAGGTGAGCGTTGCCGATCCAATAGCCTCTCCTAGCATGTGCTATTGCTGCTTCTACCACTACTGCTGCTATTACTGCTGTTGACGCTTCTACCATAGAGAATACGGAAACGCAAAAAGTGCCAGCTTCCTCGAAACTTTATGCGAGTACACCGAGGGGTAGTAATATAGAGCAGTTTTAAAAACTGAATTCTTTTACAGGCGAAGATGGATAAAGATAGGCCTCGAACCAATTTTCGTTTCCAAAATCGAAGCTTGCCCTTTTGTTTAACACTTTATCTACCTGCAGTCCATTTGTAGGCTTCTTAACTATAGTATGTACCTACTAGAGCTCGTTAACTGTGCTGTTGATTTTCTGTTTGTAATACTAAATTTGAGGAAGCAAATAGAGCATTTAACATACCTTGTAACAGTATGCATTAATTAATTTCAACCTACATTAATATACAAGGAGTTTCGTTTAAAGTTGGATGGTTAAATATCTCACGAGGGAATGAAGCTATCAAAAAATTGTTTTTATAATAATTACGTATTATAACTTTGTTATATATTAACTCTATATATGTTATAATTTTAACTTAATAGTTATGTATTATATTGCTTTAATAATATTATTTACTATTAATTTATAGTACATACATATAATACATAAGTGAATTATAAACATTAAACGGTTACACATTAGATGTACATATCTATAAAGTACACCTGGTTTCACACAAGTTTTAGACCGTTATTTACTTATATATTTACTATAAATATTTATATGAAGAGTCTTAATAAATGATTGCATATAAGGGCATAGAATAGAATTAATTTCTACACCTAATACTAGAGACCAGACCCTAATGTTCTAATGTGGCTCGTGTCAGTAGAAAGTCACCGACCTCTGTTCTACGTCATTCTCACACAAAAATGTTAATGTTTGTCTTTTGTTTCTTCTATTTCTTCCCAAAAAGAATAGTCTAACTGTGTTGTGCACAGTGGAACCTTTTAAGCGGCTTGGTCTTCTCTGCCTGCTGTATTCCGTTTGTATGAGACATGCGCGCATAAGCTAACGTTCTTGTACTGCGGTAGCGAAGACAGAGCGAGATACGGAGATTATGTTGGACAGTATTCGTATGAAAGATAGGAGTCACGTCTAACGTGATTTATACTATTGGATTTGATAGCGGTTGTGATCGAGTCTAATTTGAATTCACCGTGTCAAAATATAGAGAGTACAATTGATTTTGTTCAAGAACGAAGTTTCTATCAAGTTATAATGTATCATAGAATTGCTCTGTAGTCAGTTGCTCTTTAACTCTTCATCTCTCAAAAATCTCATGCGATGAACACTTTTTGCCTTTAAGTTCACTGTCAATACATCAAAATCTATAACGTACCCTCAATTTTATCCAAGAAGGTGTTCACTACCAACTAGTAATACCTCATACTAACCCTCTAAAATCACTTCTCTTAACGTCATCTCTTCATCTCTCCAAAACCCAATCTGACAAACACATCTTACCAATAAATTCTAGAAAATCTATAAAATACCTCTAATTTCATCCAAGAAACCATTTCCCACCTTCCCCTCTTCATCTTTCCAAACCCTGATGTGCTAAACAAATTTCAATTCTGCATTTCTACGCTTCAACGCAATAAAATCTACCATATACACCTGCATCTGTCGAGGGTGGTAGGATTTCACTGGCTTTAGGGTTGGCCAGGGCAGCGAGCCAACCAGTGAAAAAAATGGACCTCTGCCCCCACTAGAAATTGGGATGTTTGGTGGTCTTTATCAATAAGAAATACGTGCGTGGAAACGTGGCACTTTGTTGAAAGATTTTCTTGATTCGGTCGAGCGGAGGATATTCCGTCGAATACCGGGCGTAACCGCGTTTGGAAATGGTGTCGTTCACGAGCAGCAGCAGTAGTAGCAACGGGGGATAACAGCAGCTAGAAACGACCAGGAGGAGAGGTTGGAAACTGTGATGCCCGCAAAAAGCACGGCAGACAGCGCCGATCGTTTTTGCTTGGCGTCAGCCGCGTTCCTACCACCACGTTGTACTTCGTGGTGGTACATCGCTCCCTGTCTTCTCTCCTTCTCTCTCTCTCTCTCTCTCTCTCTCTCTCTCTCTCTCTCTCTCTCTCTC